GGCAAAAAGGTTGATAGATGTTTGAGCCAATGGGAACAGTCTATCACTGGGTTTACTACATCATACCTTATGGTTTTAGTAATTTGGCGCAGATTTGAAGCGCGTTGCCATCTCCCAAAATCTCCCTAGTGAATTTGGATGAACAATGCAAAGATGCCGCCTCGCACTGAATATTTTGAAGATCCCATGATCCAATGGTGACGGCTGCATTATCCATGGAACAGCTGCGATCTTGGGGATACCACTGGCTAACAGTAGCAATGTTGAGGCTGGTTCTTGGCAGTTTGGGACTGTTGGAGTTGGTGTGGTGTGGAACACATTTCAAGAACATAAGCAAATCGCAAACAATGCCAAATAGCTTCTGGTGCTTGCATAACAGACGCAGGAACCACTGTTAATCCCCCTCAACGCCTCAACGCAATGAAATTCTTGGAAACTGGGCCGGCCGCTGGGTTCCCATTTCCAATTATTTTCGATCTCAAGAACCAGCACCACCAAACAACGAAAAGCCCCCTCAAACTGTTATCTTTGACTCCCTGTGACTCTATGTCGCATCTGGGCCCCTTGTGACTGCAGCTCTTCCACTTCTATACAGCTGGCTCTACGATCGACCGATCGCACTTGCAGGCAGCACGGTAGCTGTGCGCTCTGGTCCAGTGTTGTCTATCACTGCTGAAGCCTCCAAAAACGCGGGGAGGAACATCGTAGGGTCCGATTTTTAGGGATATCCTGCACCCTCACGGGATTCACGTGATTTGACATGATTATTGGGAAGTCCTTTACGCGGCTTTTGCAAGCATACTGCAGGAACGTAAGTTTACTTGAGTTTAGTTCAAGTTGGTGACTCCAAAGAAGGGCAAAATGGGAAAGCTGACTTCTGGTTTGAAAGCGGGTCAGAAATGATCCCATGGTCTTGAATCTATGCCTATCCCGCATTTTTGTTCCAAGAGCAACGTTCAAACAATACAAATAATGTCGCAGCTGCTAGTGGTGCGGTGCATGTATATATGTATATATATATATATATATCTGTACTTGATTTATATATTTATATGTTTTTTCTTAGTACACATATATGTATACATATGTACAACACACATAACCGTATACAAGTTGTATATGTATATATGAATATATATTATTATCATGCTGGTTTGTCCAAAAACGTGGGATTCCCCGGACCTGGGACATGATGATCAGTCATGGGATTCGGGGGTCCCCTGATATATTTGCAGATAAATCCACAAACACGCACACATTTTCTGACCAATTTTCACCTCTAATGAGCCTTGGATCATTAAATTTAGGCAAAAATAATTTCCTATGCAGCTAAAATTTTCTCCCCGTCCCCGATGAGCAACAGCCCAGGGGTCAGCAGCATAGCTAGGATGATACCTTGGTTCCTTGACTTGGGAAACATCTTGTGTACCTTTTGTGTGTATCTCCATACATATATATATATATACACATACACTATGATCAATGTTGCTGCTGTTATTCTTTTTGCCACTACATATCATTGTTACTACGGATATGATTGTTCGTTGTTTTCTGTAATCACACTTATAGAATTACAATCGGCATATATATGTACAGTGTGCATATCCATGAATATATATATATATATGTGTGTGTCTGTGTGTATATGTATGTATATATATACAGATATATATATATGCATATATATATATGCATATATATATATATGCATATATATGTATATGTATATATGTATATGCATATATATGTATATGTATATGTATATGCATATATATGTATATGTATATGTATATGTATATGTATATGCATATATATGTATATGTATATGTATATGTATATGTATATGTATATGTATATGTATATATGTATATGCATATATATGTATATGTATATATGTATATGTATATATGTATATGTATATGTGCATATTTACATACATATATTTATTTATTTAATCATCCTGGAGTAGATAGAATCCAGGTTCGTAGAGGCATTTTTCTTTGAAAAAACCCGTGGTTTTTGACCCTAATACTAAACTATACCTTCGGACCCTCTAGATAGAATATTCCAAAATCTACTCCAGGATGCTCAAAATGTGTTTTTTCCTTTCCTTTTAAAAACCCTTCTAATTTCAACTTTGCTTTTTCAAAGTTTTCTTTTTAAACAGCTGCAAAAATGAACTTTGAAATGTAAGATCGTAGATTCCAACTTTTCTCATTTCCGCTTCCTTTCACAGTTTTCCATTCAAAAACCTTCAGTTATGAACTTTGGATGGTAAGATCGTGGATTCCAACTTTTCTAATGCCATGTTCCTTTCAAAGTTTCTTGTCAAACAGCTCCAAGAATGAACTTTGGGTGGGTAGATGTGGAGGAAGGGGCAGAGCGCACCACAAATACATGCTTAATTCCAAGCATCCTCACAACAAAATCATTATTTTCATAGTTCTAGAGGATATTCTATCTATAGTTTCGCGCAGCTGTCCTAGCACAGCACTTGGGAGAAAGAACTTTGGATGCTTGACCTTGGATTCCTACTTTTCTGTACTTTTCCCATGTCCTTTTCCTCTCACAGTTTTCTATTCAAACACCTGCAATTTCAACTTTGGATGGTAAGATCTTGGATGCCTACTTTTCTAATGCCATCATCCTTTCAAAGTTTCTTTTCAAACAGCTCCAAGAATGAACTTTGCGTGGGTAGATGCGGAGGAAGGGACAGGGCGCACCACAAATACACGCTTCATTCCAAGCATCCATTAAGAAAATCACTCTTTTCATAGTTGTAGTGGATGTCCAAATTCAAAATCTCCAGGGGGTGCCATGGGCACACGGCTGCTGAGTGGGTATGCGTCAAATGTGGGCCCCAACTCAATTGCAAAATTGCACATCTTCAACAATCAGTTATCAATTTTGTAGGGATGATCATTTGCACCCACACCCATTCCTTTATTGGGTTTGACTATTTGGGCATCCCCAGAACCAAAAATACCATTGCCAAAGGATCTATATTTCTGGGAACCAACAGCAACAGTTGCAAATTTTGGGGCGGTGATATAGTTTTGGAAGATTTTGGGCTGAAATTCGCATGCCAGAACCTAATACGCCAGCATAATAACAACTTTTTGTAGTCATTCCAAAGGCCCAAACAACCAAATCACAAGCTAAATGACCGCTTTTGTGATCATTCTAGATGGCCTGTATTTTTTCCAATCATCGACCCGGATTTTTGAGCCATTTTGGGATTCTATTTTCGGACCTTGTTTTTAATTCCAGAGATTCTATCTACGGTAGGATGATTATATATATATGTGTGTGTGTGAAGCTATCTATTTCAGTGGCTTCAATTTTACTGGCCCAGTCGCACCTGCCCCAGCCGTTTCTCCAGTTGCAAAACCCGCTCGCGCAGCTCGCGGAGGTCATCCTCCGTTGAACTGGCCACTGGGAATGAGCGAATCCTGAACGTTTCGCATGGCAGGCGAAGCCTGGTTTTGATAGATAACGGGGATTTATGGTGATTTAATTGAATTTACCTGTTGAAAGGGTGGATGTCATTGAATTTACCCTTTGGCAACCAAACGTGGCAATGGAAAATCCCCCAAGTGATTGTTTTTATGGGAAAATCCCCCAAATGGTCGACGCCTTTTTTAAGATTTATCACAACATGCTATTTAGAACTCATTCGAACTTATTGAAAGCCCACAGACTTCCCACGACCACGGTTAGAAAGTTAGGCCGTAAAGGATGCTCCGCCGAGTATCGTCAGCCATACTTTCTGATCACTCGCATGGCTTGAGAAGCGTTCTCCGCTAAGCCAGCGCAATTAGCATCACATTACCATTGTGTCTTGCATGCACACAGTGTGGCACTATGTCGCATTCGTGTTGGGGTTGGAGGCATTTCGAACTTCCAATCCCTGTGCCAGCCTCGGCCCCGGAAGATTTTTCACATGAAATCCTCGACTGGGCACGAGTCTGACACCAATCCCTCAAACATGGCAGGGCATTCGTGGTACGAATGACTAGGAATGATGCAAAGAAGACGGACAGAGCCAAGAAGCATCAAGTCAAGAAGGTAGACAAGGAACAAGTAACAAGATGTACTGTACTGGTTTGTTAACGGTTTATTGCCATATTTATTGCATTTGTTTGCAAATTTCATGTCATTTTTCAGTGTTCAAAGCAGCCATTTGCCCTGGCGCGCAAACCGGCCAAGCCGGAGAGCTTGGTCCTCGGGAGGCTCCTCGGTGCTACGGTTGAGTCCAGTTCGGATTTTTTGCCGAACTTGTCGAAACATCTGTGAAACATGTGGTGTGACTTGGATTCTAGATCCAGAAATTTTGGTCGGTTTTTTTGGTCGCTGACACTCTTATTTTTGGTGGTCAATAGTTCTCACCCGTACCCAGATCTTCTGGCGTGCACGGAAAGCTTTCCAGATGCCACAAGCCATTTATTTGTACAGCCAGGCGTTGGACATTTTGGCATGCCCAATTTTTTCAGGTTTTGGAAGGACCATATGGTTGGGAATACTTGCGCAGAATACCTTCATGGTTTGGAATAGTTGGGTACAATGTTCATATAATCCCTATATTGGATTAGATTCATGCTGAAAAACCTTGAGGATTAGATGAGCTTACCGTTTACCATATGTACCCATAAAACGCCAAAGTTACAGTAGAATTAACCACCATAAGCACCAAGTTGTTATAACTCAAATTTCATGCTCTCACTATTATCCAAGCGAAGAGGACGTCAAAGAAATGGTGATGGCATGCATCAAAATGCCCAGTGGCATTACCTTTCTTCGAGACACAACTGTAAAGTGTTGTGGATCTTCGAGCCACATTCGCAGGGGTAGATTCTGCCACAGATGAGAAAGGATATTTTCTTCGTATGAAAAAGGAGGAGTTCGAATGTTGACCTTGTGTTTCACTAGGACTCTTTCTGAAAGTTGACTTCAGAGCCGCCATCTTGCGACTTTGTCCCGCAGAATTTCCGCCTTTCGGTTCTGGGACGCGAAGCAGACTCGAATCGGTTCGATGGCGAAGTGACTTGGAAATAAATGAAAATAACAGTTTTCTTGGGGCAATGAAGATAAGGAAATCTATGGAAATCTGCTGTCAGAATTGCATTTACAATCCAGGCCTATGTGACCTCTCCACCTTCACTTGCTCGCGTATTTTGAGCCATCAATCATACCCTGTTGATTGGGTATTTCAACAGGTTACATTACCTCATTGAGCATTACATATTGTAACCTTAAATCTGCCTGTTCGCCAACCTATGGGAAATATGGCTGGGTGTCGAGGCCTTTGCTGATCTTTCAAATCGGCACCAACAATTGGCAGCGTCAGGGCGAGTTTGCCCCGGGTAGTGGCATTCTTCATGCCTCTTTCCATCAGACCATGAATAGTATCTCGACATCTCGACTGCCACGTGAGTTTCAACGCCGGCAAAACTCTCATGTAGAATGTCCAATGGATTGATTTGAGGAAAACATGTGCAAGAAATATCAAGAAAGCATGGTCCTTACTACTTTTTACTATGTTGTGACCATATGTTACCATCAAACATTAGTGGTTGCTGGTAGATTTCCGCTTTTTGAAGCCGTTTCACTTTTCTCCGGGGCTTCCACTCGCAGGTATGGACGGAGTGAAGTGCTTTTCCATTTATCCCAGCAAGGTGCAGACAGACCCCGAGGACGCCATGATCGGGATATCATTGGCAAAAATGGGATACTAAGGGGATACAATGGGATATATCACCTGGAAGTAACGGACAACAATGGGGCCACGATCGGGATAATGTATACAGAGGTATAAAGATATATCTCTCTATAATGGATAGGAATGGATAAGATGGATGAGAAATAATGGATATATAATAGGGATACAAACCCATCTATAGTGGATGTCTACAATCATGAGATAGCATAGGGTTATCATTGGCATATCTATCCCAATTTGGGTATGATAATAATAGTGATATACTTTGGATGATGGGATATTATGGCCCGGGGATACAATGGGGTCAACAACCAATAAATGTGCAGAAAAGCCCGCCAAATTGATTGCTAATCGCAATTTTACCTATGAAAATTGCCATGGGTTGGGTTAAACCCATGTAAATCTCACATTTTCAGATATATCCATTTTCAGTGTCAATGAGAATTCACCAAGTTGCTGTCCTAGACCAAATGCCTCAGCCGCTTCCATGCCACTGTCTTGGGCATTGTGGGATCCGTGAGGATGATGATACCTTTCGAGTCTTTAAGATCAACCATGACATTCCGATTTGCGAGTCAGTGAGCCCAAACTCCTCCTACCGGTGGCACTCCATGGACGACAAAGAATACCAAGCCTACTTGAACCGTTTGGAATCAGAGAAACCAAGATGCATTAGCTGCATTTCTGAAACAGAAACCAGTTGCAAGTTGCTTGGACCCTGGGTGCCACTGTGCGTTGAGCTAAGCGGCTAAGATCTAAGGATTTGTGCTTTCATGGACCAGGTAGAAGCAAGGGAGGGCAAGGAGTTTGATTATCTCATCTCGCACCATGCCTTTACGAATGCCATGACTGCGGCCCAGATTGTCGAGAGACGGCACAGGGAGGGAAAGACGAAGTTGAAACATTTCAATTTCGTTCACGGCACCGCATTAAAGATGTACATCAAGGAGAAAGAGGGCGACCCCGAGTATCCTATGAGATTTTTGACCAAGTGCCAGGGCAGCGGTGTCTTCAGTGGGGTTGCCAGCACCCAAGGTGTTTGGGTGAACAGCGAAGATTACATTGGAAAATTCTTGGATTGTTTCCCACAATATCCCAAGCAAAACTGCGTTTTCTCCCGGATCGGCGTGAACCAAAAGATCTTTTGTCCCAGAGGCACGGAGGTAGCTCCTGGGATGCACTCAGGACGGCTTTTTTGTTTCTCGTGTTTTCAGACAATTGAAAGATCAGGGGCTGCAATGGATTGATCCGTGTTTGTTGATATTCATGAACATTTATCAACACTCATCATCTACATTCCATATTCGTTTCGGTTTTTGTTAAAATAGGTTTACCCAGGGGTCCCTTTCTGCATCTTATGGTAACGTCAACAGAGGCCCGAGACCTGGCCAAACACCTGCGCGAAGAAGATCGCGGAAAGGTGGCCAACATGAAACGCCTGGTGACCTTCGTCGGGAAGTTCGCCGATTGGAAACGCCTGGATGCCGTGCTCTACGCAGCCAAGGAGTACGAGGTGCCAGTTTCGGAATTGAAAGGAGATGGTTTGACAAGGGTAAACATAGGCAAGATGGGGATGAAACTCTTCATTTTATGGTGATTGCTTATGAGGAAATGAGTTGAACATATTTGATTTATTAAAATATAATCCCTGGAATTGTTTGAGACATATGTCATAACAGGAAACATTGCTTTTGTTTGATCGCAACAAATATAAGGTTTTTGGTTTCCTGTACTTAGATTTCCCTGAAACCGATTTCGGATTGCTTTTTGAGTTCTTTCATATTTGATACTGAACATGGGTGCTTGCTGCCTGAAGGAAATATCGAAAGATGAGATGCAACATCTCATTTTGTCCATCACACGTCCACTTTCCTTGAAACTTGTTGGTCCATCACTGAGTTCACTTTTTTTCCGGTTGGGAAGTCTGCTCTTCGTCCTTTGCGCAGTCTCGGCACAAATGCAGGATCAGGATGCATGTCACCTGGAAGGTTTGGTTTGTAGTGGCCACCTGAGGCAATCTATATAACTATAATAATAGTTTTTTGGGAGGGCGGCTCGGGTTTGTTCCGGGCTTGGTCGGCATCAGAATGCCTTTTCACTGTTCAGCTTTGATTTGGTTGAACTTCCAATCCCATCATCTCTGCCCCAATCACCTCTCCCTCTCTTTGTTCAATATTCACTTCCAGTGGGTTTATCTGAAAATTGGCTACCCCGTTCACCATCAAATGCTTGAAAAAGTTCCTCCTCATCATCATCATCATCATCACCATCACCATCATTACCCCATAGAAGTTCAAAAACAGCCTGACATAAAGGTGAGTTGTTTTTCCCATCAAAGTCTGGAGAACCCCAGCTGCGGTCAGGCGACCTTCCCAGACCTTGGCACAGCCATTGTGGGCACAGGGCCACCAGAGGCCATCGCGATGTACGAAGGACTCTCCAAGTCCTTGGGACTGCAACGGACCGTCTTCCTGGGCCCAAAGAGTCACGTGGCCGAAGGGTAACGGCGTGGTTTCCTGGGCAGAAAATTGCCAAAAAATGTGGGAAAATGATGAAAAATGATGATAAGCCATGGGAAAAATGGGTATAGTGACGGACAATCACTTAGAACGTAAAAAATTTTTCAAAAAAAAAAAAATCGTACTTAGAACGTAGCAAAATTTCATCACTTAGAACGTAGGGAAAATTCATCACTTAGAACGTCAAAATATCACTTAGGCCCATTTATCACTTAGAACGTAAACCAACACTTAGAACGTGCTAAGTGATTGTCTGCCACTATAATTATGAACAATTACCATATGACGTGACATAGACACGTTCTAAGTGTATGGTTTTCGACGTTCTAAGTGTTAAATCAGTGACCTAGACACGTTCTAAGTGTTAAATCCCCGGTACGTTCTAAGTGATGAATCTTGATATTTGGACGTTCTAAGTGTATGGTTTTCGACGTTCTAAGTGCAAGGCTTAGAACGTAAAAAAAGCAGTAATATTCAGAATTTTTTTCCAAAATACGTTCTAAGTGATTGTCCGTCACTATAAACATATGGTATAATCATAGGCGAAATGATGATGAACCACTTCCGTTTGGTTCGAGCATGTTCGAACGCATCAATCATATCGTCAGGCTCCCCATTTGTCCAAAGATGTTGAAGGGGTACGGTTGGTAAACCCCCCATTGGGAGTTTGAACATTCAAAGTTCTCCATATTTCCCCTGGGTGTCAGAGCTGATCCCCTCGCTCTTTGCCAAGGTCAGGATGTCCTTGCTGAGCTTTTCTCAATGTCGGAGGTTGGGATGCAACTTGGCCAAATGGTGTGTTTGGCTCTGTTTGGCTCTGTTTTCACTTGAAAAAAGGTTGTCTTTGGCAATGCGTTCCAAGAATCTGCACTGGATCGTGGCAAGTTCTTTTGATTCCTTCAGGTTCTTTTTGCAAAGCTGTCTTGCAGATAATACCGTTTGTACTCCAGTCTTCAACACATCCATCTTCACAAAATCACCAATTGCAGATTGTTTGATTTCTCTACCAAGCTCCCATCATGATTATTTTGGTTTTCTAAATGGTCATTTTCTCCATTTTTCTCCTATTCTCCAATCCCATCCAATCCCTCAGGTTCCCATCCTACAAAGAGCCTTTCGGCATGGTCTTCATCGAATGCATGGCCTGTGGTACTCCCACCATCGGCGCCAACAGCGGTGGCCCCACGGAGTTCGTGAAACCGGGGCAAGGCGTCCTGGTCGAAGAGGAGGCCGACTGGCGCACGGAGCCGGGAATGAAGAGGCACACGGGCACACTGTTCGATGTTCGATGTCTTCTTGGAACTTGATGTAAACATGGCAATGTTATGCAATGTTGATGTTGATACATGTTGATGATGTTGAATGTTACAATAAATTTTGGTCAAATATTGATGTGGGATTGTGTTACATGCTTCGCATATTTCGCTGACATGTTGGGCTTCCAATTTTGCGAGGCTGGGCTCCAAGGTGGCAGCTCAAGTGACAAAAGCCTTGCAGATGAACTGGAAGCGAAGTATGGGAGCTTCCTGCGTCGATTTCGTGACCACCAATTTCTCCACCTTGGCGCAAGTTTCTGGATTTTAGCTTTGTCGTCGGTGATGATGATGATGATGATGATTCTGCAGGATTTTGAGATGTGATGTTGATATAAAAAGTGAATCACCATCTTTTGAATTGTTTACCGATTCCCAAATTTGCACATCTCCAGAAATTACCAAAATGTCATGAATCCAAAGGTTCCCCATGGTTCCCCATCCGAGGTTCGAGGCATGCTCAGCAACATGGAGGAATGGTCGTGCAGCTCGGAGGTCGCCACATGTTTCCGGAACTTCACCGGTGGATCCCAGATCTCCAAGCAGCAACTCCTGCAGCTGCTGAACAAACTCCTCCCAGGCTCCACTCGTCAGACGACGTCCTTAAAATTGGTTGGTTGAAGGTAAAAGATTGCTTATTAAACAAAAACAAACAAATTACTTTACCTCGTGTGATCCCCACCATGAAATTTATACATTTTGTTACTGGCAAATCTTCTGGCATTCTATCTGACATATTTTCTGGCATTCTATCTGGCATATCTTCTGGCATTCTACCTGGCATATCTTCTGGCAGATGTTCTGGCATATCTTCTGGCAGATGTTCTGGCATATCTTCTGGCATATCTTCTGGCATATGTTCTTGCATATCTTCTGGCATTCCATCTGGCATTCTATCTGGCATATTATCTGGCAAATCTTCTGGCATTCCATCTGGCATTCTATCTAGCATATCTTCTGGCATATTATCTGGCAAATCTGCTGGCATTCTATCTGGCAAACATTCTGGCACTTTATCTGGCATATCTTCTGGCATTCTAGCTGACATTCTATCTGGCATTCTATCTGGCATACCTTCTGGCATTCTATCTGGCATATCTTCTAACATTCTATCTGGCATATCTTCTGGCACTCTATGTGGCATATCTTTTGGCGTGGATACTCGCGGTTGAGGTCCGGCAGGGAACACTGGGCGTGGATGGTCGTGGTTGAGGTCCGGCAGGGTGGATACTCGCGGGTGAGGTCCGGCAGGGAACACTGGGCGTGGATGGTCGTGGTTGAGGTCCGGCAGGGAACACTGATGGTCGTGGTTGAGGTACACCGCGTGGTTGAGGTCCGGCAGGGAACACTGGCGGTGATGGTCGTGGTTGAGGTCCGGCAGGGAACACTGGGCGTGGATGGTCGTGGTTGAGGTCCGACAGAGACCACTGTGCGTCGAGGGTCGCGGTTGAGCAGGAGGAGGAGGAGAGGAGAGGAGGAGAGGAGACGAGGAGAGGAGAGGAGAGGAGAGGAGAGGAGGAGCAGGCAACTGACATAAAATCTAACAACCCTCACCTGGCAGGTGGGGAATTAAGTAGATATATCATATTATCAGAAACAAAAGTGATGAGAAATGGTTTGCCAGACTAATGAAACATGTGTGATTTGTTGATGTGGATGATAGCAGTTGCATGGTGATGAAAACCCGGAAGGGTTTCATAGAGTTTCATAGAGTTTCATAGAGGATTTGAAGTGCCTGTCTGGATATCTAAAGTGGTATTTGCGGTATTTGCTAGTGATTGAAAATGAACGGTATGTGCATTAGACCAGTTCAAGCACAAGATGGTGCAGGACGCAGCACGACAGTCTGTGAACAGATGTTGGAAAGCTCAGGGGCTTTGCACTGTGAGGCCAGGGAGTGACCGAGGAGTCTTTGGGAACAGGTTTTGTTCAAAAAAGTGACAGGCAAGACTCTAGGTTTGAAGAAACATTGGGCTTAAATGGATTTAACATGCACTTTACCGAAATGTAGTGAATGCACTCAATGCACTCCTCATATTTGGCACTGAATGCACTCCTCATTTTGGCACTGAATTTGTACCCATGCTCGGAAGGCAGTCGATTATCAGAAGTTCCTGGCCTTCCTTATGCAGGCGTAGCGGAATCTTCGTCAGAGTACGACACCATATGGCACCCTTCGATTGATGCAATGGGTTGATGTCAGTTGATGTCAGTTGAGCAACGCATCTAAGGAGTAGCTTCGCACTGCCACGACCTTAACATTGTATCCTGGTGTGATCTGCATTTGCTACACATTACATCATATTAAATCTACGGGCAGTTCTGGTGTTGAGACACGTTGCACACCTCATTGTGCAAAGCCAAGGCAGATCCATAGTTCTGCGACTTCAAGTCGACTTCGGTAGTCACTGAACGGGTGGCAAACTCTTGAATGGCCCACTTCAAAGAAGGGGCCGTGAGGTGTGACTTTGGTTGGTCAATCGGTGTCCATAGAATTCCATCGAAATCTATTTGAAGTGCCTGGATTAATTTTGAGTTTGTCTATTCATGATAGTTTTATGTTTAAATTTGAGAAATTTAGAATGGCCCAAAAAAACACACATGCCAAATTCGAGCTCCGTTCAGCGGAAACTCGGACTCCTTCAGTGAGACTCGGCAATGGACGTAACCTGAGTTGGCAGATGCCCAGTGCCACGTTTCGGCCACGTTTCAAGTTGTGTTTTACCTTCCAGGTTGATCCGTTGCAGATTTCAAGCGCCTAAAAACGGAAGGCATGACAGAAGTCAGCTCTCTTGTGCTTGAAAAAATGCAGTGGCTTCATTTTGCATTGCCAAATGAAGCTCACGCTTGTGCAATTAAGATTGAAGAAATCAGAATACAGAATACCTACAGTAAAGACCCATGACATCAAGTATGTCACTTCAGTCACTTCAGTGTTCTTGCTGCAAGTCAAGTTTCCTCCGCATATGGAATGTTTTCCAAGACGTGCAAAGCAAAACAATCTCGCAATCCGTTTGCCTTTTACAGACCAAATCCACTGTGCGATCATTCAGTGCTCACGAACCTTGGCGGCATTAAGGTCATAGTGAGGCGGGGTGGCAGTGGAATACAAAACTGACTTCGGGAGCTCAGAAGTCCATGGCTCTGGAATACATGCTGTCCCTTGAGGTAGCCTAGAGTCCTAGAGCAGGCCACCACCCCATGAAAATGTTGTCACTGCGACTTCATCATGCGATGGTGGATCTTGCTGCCATGGTAGCTATGTGGACATGACCCGCAAATTGGATGGTTGGTCATGAAATTTATCAAGAATAAAATGAAGCCTTTTGTAGGTGCATTGGTAGCTACCCGATTTGAGGCATACCTAGGGTATCGATTTCTTGTGACCGCCTTGTGACCTGCCAAGGCATCTTGCGCCGTGCCAACCGTGCCATGCTGATCTTCCAGATTGGCACCAACAACTGGCAGAGGCAAGGGGAGTTTGCTCCTGGCAGCGGCATTCTCCATGCGTCCTTCCATGATGCTCGGCAGGTTCTAAACTTTTGGAGTGTAAGCTGCTGTCATATCCATAGCAATCCATGAATATGGTTGCGGGAAAGTGAAGTCGGTGTGAATTTGGACGTTTGCTGTTGGATGGAAAGCCACTTGACAATCGTCAAAATGGAGCCAATGGTCCGAAGTTAAGTTGCTGTGTACTTATCCTTCAGCGGGATAGCCACAGTCATGTGACAACTTGGATATCAGCAATTCGGAATCCTAAGCTTCGAAGAGATTTCTTTGAACTAGACTAAACTGACTGAACCTTACGGAAAAAAGATGGAACACCACACTGTCCTCAACAGTTTCTGAAGATTCTAAAAACAATCATAACTACTTGGATTCACCGTGGGCACTTTCTCCTATTTGGGCACTCAAAATTTGTCAAATTGTCAAATCAACCAGTGAGGACAGCATGAACAACATGCCGGGCGTGAAGAGCTACTCCATCTATCCCAGCAAGAAGCAGACGAACCCTGAAGCTCAGCAGCAGGAAACAAGCCATCGCTGGAAAAACATCCAAGGGATGACAAGATGATGATATTTATAGTTGATTTACCCATCAAGAATGGTGATTTTCCATAGTTATGTTAGTTTACCAGAGGGCATCCACATGTTATCAATAGTTTATCCATAGTTTATCTATATTTACCCAAGGTTTCTGTTTTTTTTGAGCTGCGAATGCTTTGTTTGTCTTGTGATGGCCTTACTCTTCCCGACCTGAGGAAGACGACCCGACCTTCCGAGTGGCTCAGCGATCAGTGACAACTTGACATAGTAAGTATCCATCAATATGTCAAGATTCCATAGGATTCCTAAGATTCCAATCCAATGTTCGAAAGTTGATGAAAGTTGTTCCCCCAAACTGCTACTTTCATTTTTTCACCGCGCTGTTTGCTATTTGGGAAATCTGTGAAAACGGCGTTTCTCTTAAGAGAATATGCTGTTCTCCATCTGTGCAGGTCTTTAAGATTGAGCACGACATCCCAATCTGCGAATCGGTGAGTCCCAACAGTTCTTACCGATGGCACTCCATGACAGAGGAGCAGTACGATGCCTATTTGAAGCGCCCCTTGGATGGACGGATGGACGTTGGGGATCCGGAAAATTGGGGCATTTTCCACGGTTTCACGGAACCATTTCAGACCATACTGAACCAAGGCTTGGAGAACGAGATCTGCCAATTCATGGATGAGGTTGAAGCGAAGGAGGGCAAGGAATTCGATTATCTTATCAGCCACTGAGACTGTCATGAGCCACCGCCCAAAATAAAAATCACATTTTTAGTTCTGCTTCTCCCTTGGTTCTCCGAAAAAAAACGAAGCGTTTGGATCAGAAATCTTTGAATGGATGAGTTGGATCACATGGAGAAGAAAAGCATGAGCTTTTGCCAAGTCCCCATTAATCAGCGAATGGGTTCGCATTCTGTGTGCTGTCAGCCTGAAAGGTATATCAACATGCACAACAACACCCAAGTAATGAACCGTTTACCACCCATCAATCTCGATGTTTATCAACATTTACATACCAGTTCTACAAATCAAATTTGTCCCAACTTTACTCAATTCATATGTGAAGAAATGGCAAATACATGGTGTAAACGGCATTTATCCACCATTTATCCACCATTTATAAGTGGCAACCAATGGTGAACGGTTGCACTGGCTCCGAGGCCACCATGCCTTCACCAACGCCATGACGGCCGCGCAGATCGTGGAAAGACGACACAAGGAGGGGAAGACCAAGCTGAAGCTTCGACATGGGAAGACTGGAATACTCCAATCTGTGGTCAAACCCTGGGGATATCACTGGGACATTGACTCATTTCTATATATATATATATACGTATATATATATTGTATATATATATTGTATATATAATATATAGATATGAAATGGATGTATAGTAGGTATATAACCAATGGGATGTTTGCAGGATTTGCTGGAAACTGCCTCAAAAGTGAAGATGGATGAAGACTGCAGAAATCAACTTGTTTGGGCTGCGACCAAGCTGAAAAGCCATGGATTTCCGATTTATTTGACATATCTTTTTGCCATGTAGCGAGTAAGCGCGCATCTTGGGGTTTTGCTGGAATGGTTTGCAAAACTGAGTGAGTAATGATGAGCGGTTGTATTGTATCCGCATTCTGTCCAGGTATTCATGCAACCATCTTGCTTTGTTATGCCTCACATATGTCTTGTTTGTGTGAAGTTCGGACCTGGTTCTTCCTTCCACTGTGTGCTGGTTTCAGGGCAACATGTTCAAGCCAAGGAAGCATTTCAATTTCGTTCACGGCACCGCATTGAAGATGTACATCAAGGAGAAAGAGGGCGACCCCGAGTATCCTATGAGATTTTTGACCAAGTGCCAGGGCAGTGGTGTCTTCGATGGCTTGTCGAAAACTTCAGGCGTTTGGGTCAATTCTGAGGACAGCAGCGGTGGTCGTGGTAGCCGCGGTGTGTGGATGTGTGTGGCAAAGGAGGTTCGAGGTTGAAGTGGTCACTACAAACCTGCTGCCATAATCTTCTGATTTTCAGATTTTTTCAGAAGATTTCAGGTGCAAGCATGAGCAGATCATGTTTCACTAGTTTGTCATGATTGGAACCATCTCACCATGGTGACTTCTTATTAATGGTTTGCAACTGGCGAGGACTACATTGGAAAGTTTCTGGACGCTCGGTGAAAGTCTATGTCTGTTTTAAAGGAAACATGTGAAGCAGCAGAACCAGCCGCTCTGCAGTTCACAATTCATGGAATTGAGTTCTTTATAAATTGAAAAGGTCGACATAGGTCAAGAAAAGTCTACAAGAAAAGGCCGAATACGACACTTCTGAATCCACCACTCCACCAATGTCATGGACATCTCATGACATAACCAGATCTGACTTAGGATTGCTTCCCCAGCTATCCCAAAGAGCGCTGCGTGTTTTCCCGCATCGGCGTGAATCAGAAGACCTTCTGCAACAAGGGCAGCACTGTGGCCGCAGATCTCGCCAAGCACTTGCAGGAGGAGGCTGGAGGGTCGCAGGTTCATCTCAGGTTCAGAAGATTGTATACTTTTATGTTTACATATGATTATACATCTAGATATTTATTTTTTTACATACATACATACATACATGCATGCATTATATGTATTATTGGTTACCTTTGGTGTCATATGGATTTTTTTAAAGTACAATAAAACAGTTAATGAACCTTTTTTGCAATCTTGCACAGACTCTTTCATGGAATGTCAAAAACGGAATGTGAGATGGAATGATATATCCAATACTGACAATATGTATATGGTGTATGTATATATATATGGAACAGTATGTATATGTTACATATATATATTATATATCCATTGGAGATTCAATATGGCTGTTTGTTCGCAACTCTGCCGTTGCGACAGGATCAGCCCAAGGTCGCCAGCATGAAACGCCTGGTGACCTTCGTCGGGAAGTTCGCCGATTGGAAGCGCCTGGATGCCGTGCTCTATGCAGCCAAGGAGTACGAGGCGCCATGAGTTTCCTCTGGTGTTTTGACGAAAATACTGGGAACATAGTGGAGAAAACCCACCATGTTCACCCATTTTATGGATTATGACTATGAGAATTCAATGGGGATACTTTTTTTTATTCACTTCACCCTGTCTATCCCCCATTGTGTTGATATTTGTGAGCATGGGAGATTACATTGCAAGAAAGACGCGACTCAAGAAACACAGATTAGATCACCGTACTACTGCAAAAAAAAACTCAAGTTGACGCCTATGGTGGGGGAGAAGATACCATGCTGGCGGCTTCAAAATGATCAATGATCACAAGTTCCCCAGAACAGGTTTGGCCAGGCCATGTTAAAAAAAATGAACTCCGAAATCCACAACAAGTGAGACAAATCAGCAGAAAATGACTTCACAATAGCCATAGTTTCTGAATACCCTCTGGTAATTTAACATAACTATGGAAAATTACAATTTTTCATGAGAAAATTGACTATAAATGGTGATCTTCCATAGTTATGTTAAATTACCAGAGGGTATTGGAAGAGCGGTTTGCCAGGGCAAATTTCCAGACGTTGGCACCGCTATTGTGGGCACCGGTCCGCCGGATGCCGTCGAGAAGCCGCTTGGTTGGTGCTATTGGTTGGTGCTATTGGGTTACTATTGGGTTACTAGTGGCTACTAATGTTGGGTTACTAATGTTGGGTTAATAATGTTGGGTTACTATTATTGATCATGATGATCAACTATAATTATGATAATGACTGGCTGGTTGGTGGTTTGGACCCTGGTTTTTATGACTTTCCATATATTGTGAATAATATTCCCAACTGACGAACTCATATTTTTCAGAGGGGTTGAAACCACCAACCAGTAGAGCCACCCTCGAAAAGAGATAGAAAAGTGGGACACCGATATATAGAAATATGAATAAACATCATCTATATAATATCCTGGAAGCACGTTTCTATCTTTTTGGGGTTGCTATGAAGAAATATCACGAATTATAGGTATATGGAACCAGAAATCCACTTGCTCCAGTGATTGTGATTCCTATGATATTTCTCATTCATGTGTATATCAGATTGCTGGGGTGTGTCTGAAAAACCAAGAAATTGCCCTGAATAGACTGAATAGATGACGGTTGTTTATCAGGAATATCGTGCTTAACCAATGCCTTGGAATATACCCACTGAAGCCCATGTTACAAAAAGGAAAAAACCAGGGTTTGTCAGAATAGTCCATACCTGCTGATTGCTTTGCACTTCTGGTTGGTATGATTCGGTGAAGTATTGTCTAAGTCCCACGTTTCCATTTCGTTCTCACGTGAAAAGGAATCATTATGTCGCGCATGAGTCTGAACCACAATTCGGACTCTGCCTGCAAATTCATGGTTTCCATTCGACAAAATTTAAGCAGGTGTTCTCAAAAAGCCTCCAATAGTTGGGTGTTCTAAACATGATTATAATCATATCTAACTATTATCCAACTATCATGTTTATCAATGATTATCTAACTATCATATCTAACTATCTATTATTCATATTATCCCTCAATAGTTGGCTAGTCAAAACCTCCATATCATATTTGAAAAAATCATCTCCTGGGATTTTGGGCAGACCTTTGTCTGTTCGGATTTTGAGTAGGTATCAGAGCATGGCGAAGACCTTGGGCCTGGAGCGCACCGTCTTCCTGGGGCCAAAAGGATACCTGGCGAGTTAAGACATAAACAAAAAATGCCATCCATGCCATGATTTCTCAAGTTAAGATTATATATACGTACCTGAAGCTAGGTATATACATTTAAATTTTATAATACATTATTAATATGTTTTGAAAAAATATGTATACACATGCAATCGCATGTTAAGATATTTACTGCTTTTAAATTGCTAACGTCCATCCCATAATGTCCATGACAATGAAAGACAAGCCTTGTCCGTTTCTCACCGTGAGTCGGATTTCCAGGACAGGACGTCCTGGCCGAGCTCTTTTCCATGTCTGAGGTTGGCATGTACCTTGGCTGGAAATCCTGGTGACAGGAATGGAATGTTCTGGACATATGTATAGTCTGTATAGTATAAATAAAAAAGTGTATATTTGGTGAATTATAAACCATAAATGCCAATAAATAATAACAGTATACTATATATATATATACTATCGGATATATATATATAATTCGATATGTAAAGTACTGTTGCACAATTGGTGATTTTTCTGATAGTTGCTGAACCGTATGTCACAAAACATTGTTGGTCTATATGACCAAACCAGAGGCCTGGCTCGAGCAGGTAGCACATGAGGTCAGGAGTTTTGAAAAGATGTCCGTTCCCAGTTTCCCAGTGCTTGATATCTTTGGACAATGCTATTGCAGTTTTCAGGGACCAAAGGATCCAACAGGTTCCTGTCGAAATCCAGTGTCATGGTTTACCAAGCAGAAACCCTATGAATTGGATCATAGGGACTATATATCCATTATTTTTAATGAATATCCATTCACTATTGTCCATTACCCTGATGGTTTATCCCAAATGTCATGTATGAATGGATAATATTTGGATCCGAATCTCCGTATCGACCTATGACACAGCTCGTGCTGAGGTTCCCATCTTACAAGGTGCCTTGCATCGGAGGGATTTTGGATGTTTGGCTCCGAATGGCACTCAGTTTGGCACAAAATTGCAATGGGTTCACTCACCAAATTGAAGTTCTAATTGTCTCCGCTTGACATATGATTAGTCTTCAGGTTCATATTCTTTAGTATAGTTATTTAATAAAGTTATTTGCTGAGATCAAACCCAATTAACCAGATTAAACAGTGCTTTTGATCAAACCCATTTCCCATCTCAAAGCCATTTCACCGGACGTCCCAGGAGCCTTTCGGCATGGTCTTCATCGAATGCATGGCCTGTGGCACCCCCACCATCGGCGCCAAGAGCGGTGGCCCCACGGAGTTCGTGAAACCGGTGCCTCGCCGGCGTAGACCCTGATGGAAACTGGAAGAAAAGGATGGCGAAAACCACTGGAAAAGGTTGGATGCCCTATGGTAAGACAACCCTGGTATGGTTATGTATAATGTTTTGGCTTGGGAGAGAAGTAACCAACTAGATGTGGCCAAGTATAGCAACATCGGTAAACCCAAGAATAACCCCCAATGACTTACCAGAAATATTAAGGATTTCCATCATTCCCCTGCCGAGGAGCAGGGAGTACTGGTGGAAGAGGAAGCAGATTGGCACACCGAAGAAGGTATGAAGAGGTGCGTGTTTCCTGAACGCTTTCGTTCCTGATATTTGATTATCACCCAGTTCAAAGTGGGAGATATCAGATGGCTCATCATCAATCGCAGTTGTACACATACATATACACATATATAAAATATACACATCTACATGAGAATGTAATAGGGGCTGTGAGCCATTTACTTTTTGTGAACCGCGAGCAGAGCAACCCACACAACCTTGGCATCGACGTCGCCAGGTTGGGAGGAAAGGTGGCCACTGAAGTCATCAAGGTGCAGCCGGTGCCCAGTCATATCCATACTATATGGTCTATATGGTACTATAGTGCATGATATATAATCTGTATATATAAATATATATATATACATTATATATACATATATATACATATACATATATATATATACATATATATATACATATATATGTGTGTATGTATACTGTATATGCATATATGTATGTGTATATATATATATATATCATGTTTATGACCCATAGATGCATCCAAAAAAACATCCAGCATATACCACCATTTTATATCCCATATCACATTCTAGATTACATCCCGTATGCTCGGCTAGGCCATTGACGAGGACTGGAAGAAGACCAAAGGTCCTGGTTGCATCGATTTCGTCACTCGTTGAACTTGTTTCGTCTGTGTGAAAATTTGGAAGTGACCCATGTATAATGACCCATGTACAGTGACCCATGTGCATGGGAATTGGTTTGATATGGCAAAAATATATGGTATCCCCTAGTTGTTTTTCACATTGCATGAAAAGTTTCGGGGTGAAGCACGAGAGTTTTTCCAACAAACTTAATGGGCATCCTGGATATTTCCTACCCAGAAATTCAGCAGATGCAGATCTGACGGCCGAGCGGACAGGGCCGTCCACACGGCCGTCCACCTGGCCGTCGGGCCGTCAACCAAGGTGACCAAGAACTTTTCCACCGTGGCACAAGTTGAAGGCATGCTTTCAAACATGAAGGAATGGTCAGCTTAGCCTTCATGTGACAGCTTCTGACCTGACACCTGTGACATCGGATCGCCTCTGTTTGCCAATAGCCAGCGGTGGTCCCCACATGTGTCAGGGTATGCCTGAAGAATGTGGGAATGCAAAACCCATTTGTAGCCTATTTGCAATGATCAAATGGTAATAAACCTTTGAAAACAAATCTAGCATCTTTACCAATCATGAAACATCATCAAAACGGTTTTTGTTAAACGATTTGGGTTCCCTTTTTTCGGGTCATGCCAAGGGTGGATCCTTTCTGAAAGGGATCACCATCCTATTGCTGAACAGTGGCTGAACAGTGAACGGTGGTTCAGTTGTTCGACTCCACCAGCGTACTTCAGTGGGTCCTACGACTGGAAACTCCGACCAACAAAAATCCTGTGTGGTGATGCAGATCCCCTTTTAGGTTAACAGCGGTTAACATATTGTTAAGATATTTAAGTGATATGTTTTTCAATTCGAAGCAACTCTGAGAAGTTATCAGTTTCAAACCACACTAACACGACGGCCACAACGGGGGATTGTTTCACTACTTTAGCCCAAATATCGGTTCTCTCGTTGCTGTTTTTCCAGCTCCGTGTGCAGCACGCAGCGGGCAGCAGTGAGCACCCAAAGTGACTAGGCAGTTGAAAGAGCCGGCCATGACTTGTAAGCATCACAGGTCACATGATGCCACAGGTACCATTATCATCTTCAGCATTCTCATGCTCATCACTGTTCATCCTCATCATTGTCCTTGTTGAAAGGATTCCGGAAGGCAACTCAAAAGCATCGCGACAGCCTTCGGCAAAGGATGCAAGCATGGCATGATTTCCATAATGTTGGGAGGATGCAACATTCGAAAAATATACAGTGAATGTTGTAGCGGGCCCCTACCAAGCTCTTTCAGGCCCTTCGAAGACCAGCAACCACGTACTGTGTTCAGATTTCTCCGTGACATGATTTTTCAAGCTCCGATTTCAGTGTTTCACTACGTGTGTCCACACAACAATTCCGGACTCAGACTTTGATTTGAAACTCCTGAAAAACCGTTACGTCATGTTACGTCCACCTTATCCTTCTCATTTGTGTGCAATTTCATGGGTGTTTGTTGTGATCTGCACCCCTTTATGCTAACAACAATTTGCACCATATGGCGCTGGCCGACAACAATGTGGAAGTCGACCAGGCGACTAGATGAGGTGGCAACGACGTGGCTTTTGATGTACGATTTTTGGGGTTGCGGTGCCTTTTCATCCTTGAATTTCTCATCCTTGTGACTTGTGAGTTTGGAAATCAAGCTGTTCTGTCTTGTTTGGGTTTCAGTTGTATGAAAAAACATCATGTTCACCTTGTGTTTGTCGCTGTGAGAATCCAATGAGCCCGGTATAATGTGCAGTGCCAACTTGTCCGGTCGTTTCTTTCGAAGGAGCTGAAGAATTTCTCCACGGGTCTACAGATGAAAGGCGCAGCCTAAGATTTCCCACGGAGAAATATCCAGAGAAATACGTTTTCAATGCAACTGGCACCGGTTGCAGTGGTTGTAACTCAAAACATCCATCCTCAGAATCGTCACACCTCATGTTGCAGATTTGCAGAGTGCTGATCCAGGGTTCAAGCCCTGTTTGATTTCCATCCCGTCAGCCTGAGATAGATTGCAGCTTCAATAGCCGCTCCCTCCACGATGGGCTGTGGTGCTTCAGCGGCACCGCCGCCATTGCGGAAGATCGATGCTTCGAAGTTCACCAAGGTCTTTGAGAAGGAGAACATCATGGAGATTGCTTGGCTGGACGACGACAAATGCCTCTTGCTTTCTTGCGAAAAAGTGATTGAAGAAGGGGCTCCAACCCGTCAGGAAGATCCTTGGTACAAGCCCCCAGTCAAAGTTGCTGTGGAAGCTTATGATGTGAAGAGTAAGGCTTTGAAGATGTTATCCACCGTGGTTTCCAAAGATGACGTCCCTTGTATGGCCGCCAGTGTTGATGGGAAGATGTACGTAGTAGGACTGGGCCCAGAGTTATACCTCTTCAATGCCGATGGTTCAGAGATCAGCAAGATGAAACCCTTCGATGAATACAGCAGCTGCAGAAGCATCAGTGTGAGCCCAGATGGAAAACACATCGCCGTGGCCTCTGCTCAAGTGAAAATGAAGGTGATGAGTGTGGATGGCACAGAAGTTTTCGACCACCAGATCAGTGGGAATTACAAGCCGAAGGCTGGCTTGCACTGGTGGGACAACAATACTGCACTTGTGCTCTCCGACAGCACGGTTGAATTGCTCGACATCTCCGCAAAGAAAGTCTCTGGACAGTGGTTTGGTCCCCCAAAGGGAGACAGTACCTATACTCATTCGATCAACCCTGTGGGAATGCGTCTTATGAAGAGTGGAAAGTCTTTCGTGGCCCACAGGGATGATGGACAGCTCTTTCGTCTCAAGGGAGGAGATGGAGGAAAATTTACGGTGGAAGAAACTTACAAACTTCATGAAAGAGAATATGGACTTTACAACGGCACCAGATTTGTCGTCCTTAAAGACGAACAGACAGTCATCTATGAAAGGCCCAAAGGCAACCGAGACAATGCAGACCCCGAACCAGACCACTTGGTAAGCCATGTGATGGCAAGTGGTGAGAAGTTGGTGCTTGTTCGCGGGGAAGACGCGAAGCTGACGAAGGTGGAAGCGATCGAAGTGAGCCTTGGTGCTTTGAAACACAGTCAAACACGTTCAAACATGTTTACTACCTGTTTACTCTTTCAAACTTTTCCAGCTGTGGGATGATAAGTTGGACGTTTGGCTAAAGCTAGTATGTTTGACTTGAGTCAACCAGCAACCAGCATCAGCATCCTCCATCAGCATCCGGTGTTTAGGAACTCTTCAGATACCGTGCTCGCGACCGTGGACAAGGAAGGCGCCAAAGTCTACAGCCTGGGCCGAGCAGAGCCGACGCCAGTCTGAGGGCACTGAGAAGCGCTTAGCATGTATACATGCCAAAGCATGTAACCGGTGATGAAACCGGTGATGAACACTTGAAGTGCTGACATGATGTTGATATTTTGGATTTTTGAGAAGAATGTATCTGGTAATTCGGATCCTTGCACGCTGCACTGGCAAAATCCATGATGGAGCCAAAAAAAAGAAACAGCTGCTAGCTGGCTTCCAGCAATGGGTTTGTCTCTTCGAGCTTCAAAGCCTCACTTTGACCAAGCTGCTTCAGTTGCGATTGACCTGTCTCAGGCCGTGGCCAACTCCGGAGTGACATTGCAGGCGTGGAAAGGAGATTTAGAGATTGTTTTTCATATAGATAACAGGGAGGAGCACAAAATACATGAAATACACGAACCACATTGTTCATCTACACGCTTTGATTTGGTGTATAGCCTGTATAGTTCAAAAGGACTGGGAAGTCCACTTCAGTGATCTCAACAAGTTTGCAGTGGAAGACAGGAGTTTGAGAGATCCGCACATCTGGATTGTAGCGTGTTCCTTTTATGAACAGCCTTCCGATGTTTCTTGGCGCTATTCGCACTGGCACCGATGTATCCCAACTAGTTCGTGCATCACAAGCATCACGACTGACACAAACCTTCCGCAACAATTCAATAGGGAGCGGTTTGAAACCATGAAAATCCCTTTTTGACCTATACTACTTCTTGGGAATTGTACCAATTTGTTTCTTGGGGTTGAAGAAGCAGGATTAGCTTTCATGTTTTCATGCAACTTCAAAGTGCCTACCAATTTATCTATTTTATGTTCCAGTTGAAGAAGATGACGTGTCCACAACTTTTGCAGAACCATCTGTGTACGACGTTGTATGAAACGTTTGCATGTAGCTAAGATTGGTTAAAGCAGGATCCGTTAAATTTGTCTCTTTCTCCTTTCAGAAGTCGTTGTTTTAAATTCCTAACGACCCCATCATTTGTCACGTTTGCTGGCTCGACGATGCAGTCAGTAATTGCCTGGGTTCTGCATGTCATATGCGATCATTCTTTGAACCCAACACGAACATGTCGGACACGCAGAAACAAAAGATCCAAAGGGATCCAAAGGGGTCCAAAGTTTTGCCTTTCAGGAATTTAACATAATTTCACCGGTTTTCTGGACCAGGGAGGCGCACTCAAAACTGTTGTGTGTTTTCTGCGCAGGATCTTACTCAGATGAACAAAGACATCATCGACTTGGAGCCAGCGCGGCGTTGCAGACAAAAAGCAGTGCTTTTGCGGGATCAGGGCAACCAAGAAGACTTATGGAGATGTCCTGCCACGGGTTGAGCTTATCATTTTGAAGACATTCAATCTGCCACTGAGGGGTGGTCTTCTTGGGGGCAAGATTTTGAGCAGGGCAAACCCACTTCTTCAAGGGCCCATGTTCGCAAAACCAAAGCCGGCTGGAAAGGCTGAAACTTCAAAAGCAGGTTGATCCCTATTTCCACCAAATCGGACATTTCATGGACATTTCATCTCATGCGGGTGGTGAGTTGGAAATGACGCTGCAACCAATGCGAAGTTTTTGGGGGGTGTATCCACTTATATCCACCTATGCCTATATTCACTTATTGCAGACGCAGATCTTTTGGAAAACCCACTTTTTTTGGTGTTTCATCTGTTTCCACCCGTTTCACCATCCAAGTGCCACGCCACGCCATGCCGGCTCAGTACCATGGGCCCGGCACAGCGGCCACAGCGGTCCGCGGGGCCGCGGAAAGTCCCAGGTTGGTCCCGGACACGTCCAACACACGGCCGTCAGATGGTGTGAAGGTTAGGTCTTGGGGTGCACATGCTACTGATTGCTACTGTATACAATGATAGTTGGTTAAACAGTTAAACACCCATTTAATGCCCATGCGCATGCATAGTATTGTACATATTTGTAGCATACACACCTGGCCAAGAGTGATTTACGCGGCTGCCAGTGCTGCGCCAGCATGAATGCATGTTGTAGCCGATGCTAGCAGCGGACATGCTGTTTGCAACTATGCATCCATTTGTCATGAATTCACCAATGGGATTGGAAACTCTATCCATCTCTAAGCAGAATGGGGATTTCAACTGAGTCGGGCTGGTGAAAGACATGCATCCACGGATCTTGTCACAAACCTGCGACATTTCACTGGAGTAACTGCGGCACATGTGGACAATTGAAATCCGGAGACGCAAAATAACAGACGAGAAAACACAAGTGTTTAGCAGATCTTGAGGGTTTAGCTTGCACCCCAAAACGGAGACACATACACAGTCGCATCTCTACTTGACGTGCAAAGATGCGACATTCATCACATCCCTACTCTACGCGTACAATTCTTGGTGCCCCGGGTTTTCCTCTATGTTCTCCCGGCATTTCGCCACAGGCGCAGGATGGGTTTCTTCGTCCCGGCTCCCAGCATTTCAGAGAGACCTTGACCTTGACAAATGCTCCAAAGTGTGGAGACCAAAGGTTTGACAAACTGAAATTTGGAACAAAGCAACATGTGCCCGAAACACTACCCTGTGTTTTCGCAAGTTCTTTTCTGCATTGGTTTTTCTCAGCATCAGTTTGCTTTGGAAGATCTGCATTGACGGTGCCTGGCCAAATCGAGGATGATCCCAGTTATGACATCGACTTGGAGAAACATCCCGAGCCATGGAGCCCCAGAGGTGATCAGCTCCCCTTTCCAACGATCACTATTGAGGGATCACCTTGGGATCACTTGGGTATCCATTGGTGTTGTGAAATTTCTCAATTCAACATATTCAAAGATGGGTCCACATGGTCCACATTTAGGCCTGCATTTTGGCCAATCCACTGAGTTTGTCCGAGAATTTCTTGCCAACATCCAGTTGTTGATCCCAATTTCTCCGCCAGTAGAACTACCCTCTGATAATTTAACATTGCTATTGAAAATGGCCATAGAAATAGTGGATTTACCAATGAAAAAAAAAAGAAATTTCCATGTTGGACAAACCCATTGGACAAACCCACGAAACCCAGCTGAGTTTCGCTGAGGATGCCTGCGGAACTCTTGGTCTCGGAGATAGGGCACAGCCTCCGCTTCAAGGTGGAATGGTGGAGCGGACATCTCCGACGCCTCAAAATGGGAGGAGTGCTCGGGTATATAACCAGAACAAAATATGACAGATATGTGATATGACGGGGATATAACGTGATATAAATCTAACTGATTCTTGGGAATGATGACCGGTTGATCACGGTTACATACGGTTACAATTGATTGTTAAACCAGAAATGGGCGGCTTGTCAGCAATGGCAAGAAATCCAAAAAATGGGAAAATGAACTTGTGTTTTTAGCCTGGTTGGTGGTGTGATGTGTTTACATTTATGTTTCGGATACGTTGAAGCCGCTGAAGCTCCTTTCCCGCGCCAGGGCCATTGCGTGTTGAAGCTGGGCATGGATGAGGATGCCCTGGACCAGGCCACAGTGATTTACTAGCCACTTTGATGATCTTTGATGTATTTTGCGCACAGCAAACCCCCCAGTAAAAAAACATGTAGAAAAGATAATCTACCTTTATTTCAGGAGGATTTCATGTGTCTATCCTTTCAGGTCGAGTTATAGACACATACCCATGTGGACCATGTTTTCCCATGCTATTTTGGGATAGCCATGTCATGGCAATGTTAATGTTGCAAAAGATGTCCTCAACCATGAAACAGAACGGGGTGCCATTTTTCTGATTAAGATCATGTTATATCGGCATGCCCCCAAAACCCCATGAAGAATGTTCGTGCTTGATCCGGAAACCGGATAAACATAGACCAATTGGGGCAATTTTACCAAGCCCCAGGGGGCGACCTGAACCGAAACACAACCACAACCACGAACTGTCACGAGACATGGACGCAGCTGTGATCATCGATGGCATCCCATGTTCCAACATTCCGCGGCTTCGTTTGAAGGCCTCTGATGAAGCAGTTGATCTCAAGAGAGCTGGCAAACTCCAAACGTCTCGGGACCCGGCCACGGGTCCAGCATCAAAAATGCAGAAAGGACGAAGAAAATATGACATACAGCACCCCAGAGGTCCTGGATAATATGTTGTATAAGATTTCAGAATCTATAGGATGATATAGGATGATGATATGTGATATATCATATACATACAACCATCTAGACCTTTAAAAAAAACAAATCCAAGGCCACCTCCGCAGCTGATCGACGCGCTCTTGGGCCCAGAGGCAACCCTGGCCGGCAAATCAGAATTATATATATATACACATACGTATATATCACTTGTATATTATATATATATATGATATATTACTGATTAAATTAGCATTTTTCTTATTTTGTTGAATTCAATGGTTTGCAGAGTGGTGACTGTTGGCGTAAGACCAATCTGTTGAACATGATACAGCCATGCCGAATGCCTATATTGCCCACGACCGTAACCACAAGGGGACTTCAAACAGTTTCCCACAGAATCTCATGAAACCACAGGGTTAGACAAACCTCCTTTGCAGGATAGGCGAAGGTGTAGTACACAAGACATTGACATAACTGTAAGTCAAACTTTTGCAGGATAGGCGAAGGTGTAGTACACAAGACAGTGACATATCTTTAAGTCAAACTTTTGCAGGATAGGCGATGGTGTAGTGCACAAGACAGTGACATATCTTTAAGTCAAACTTTTGCAGGATAGGCGAAGGTGTAGTGCACAAGACATTGACATTTTAGTAAATCAAACCTCCTTTGCAGGATAGGCGAAGGTGTAGTACACAAGACATTGACATAACTGTAAGTCAAACTTTTGCAGGATAGGCGAAGGTGTAGTACACAAGACATTGACATATCTTTAAGTCAAACTTTTGCAGGATAGGCGAAGGTGTAGTGCACAAGACATTGACATATCTTTAAGTCAAACTTTTGCAGGATAGGCGAAGGTGTAGTGCACAAGACATTGACATATCTTTAAGTCAAACTTTTGCTGGATAGGCGAAGGTGTAGTACACAAGACATTGACATATCTTTAAGCCGAACCTCCTTTGCAGGATAGGCGAAGGTGTAGTGCACAAGACATTGACATATCTTTAAGTCAAACTTTTGCAGGATAGGCGAAGGTGTAGTGCACAAGACATTGACATATCTTTAAGTCAAACTTTTGCAGGATAGGCGACTTCAGGTGTAGTACACAAGACATTGACATATCTTCAAGTCAAACTTTTGCAGGATAGGCGAAGTGTAGTGCACAAGACATTGACATTTTAGTAAATCAAACCTCCTTTGCAGGATAGGCGAAGGTGTAGTACACAAGACATTGACATAACTGTAAGTCAAACTTTTGCAGGATAGGCGAAGGTGTAGTACACAAGACATTGACATATCTTTAAGTCAAACTTTTGCAGGATAGGCGAAGGTGTAGTGCACAAGACATTGACATTTTAGTAAATCAAACCTCCTTGGCAGGATAGGCGAAGGTGTAGTACACAAGACATTGACATAACTGTAAGTCAAACTTTTGCAGGATAGGCGAAGGTGTAGTACACAAGACATTGACATATCTTTAAGTCAAACCTCCTTTGCAGGATAGGCGAAGGTGAAATACACAAGACATTGACATATCTTTAAGTCAAACTTTTGCAGGATAGGCGAAGGTGTAGTACACAAGACATTGACATAACTTTAAGACAAACTTTTGCAGGATAGGCGAAGGTATAGTGCACAAGACATTGACATAACTTTAAGTCAAACCTCCTTTGCAGGATAGGCGAAGGTGTAGTACACAAGACATTGACATAACTTTAAGTCAAACTTTTGCAGGATAGGCGAAGGTGTAGTGCACAAGACATTGATATATCGTTAAGTCAAACCTCCTTTGCAGGATAGGCGAAGGTGTAGTACACAAGACATTGACATAACTGTAAGTCAAACTTTTGCAGGATAGGCGAAGGTGTAGTGCACAAGACATTGACATATCTTTAAGTCAAACTTTTGCAGTATAGGCGAAGGTGTAGTACACAAGACATTGACATAACTTCAAGTCAAACTTTTGCAGGATAGGCGAAGGTGTAGTACACAAGGCATTAAGTCAAACCTCCTTTGCAGGATAGGCGAAGGTGTAGTGCACAAGACATTGACATATCTTCAAGTCAAACTTTTGCAGGACAGGCGAAGGTGTAGTACACAAGACATTGACATATCTTTGAGTCAAACTTTTGCAGGATGGGCGAAGGTGTAGCACACAAGACATT